TGCAACCCTCTGCGGAGATCGTGCGTGTCGAGTGCGCGAAATGCAGGTGAGAGTGCGATGTGCCGGGTGCCCGCGCAACCCTCTGCGGAGATCGTGCGTGTCGAGTGCGCGAAATGCAGGCGAGAGTGCGATTTGCCGGCTGCCCGCGCAACCCTCTGCGGAGATCGTGCGTTTCGAGTGCGCGAAGTGCAGGCGAGAGTGCGATTCGCCGGCTGCGCGCGCAACCCTCTGCGGAGATCGTGCGTGTCGAGTGCGCGAAATGCAGGCGAGAGTGCGATGTGCCGGGTGCCCGCGCAACCCTCTGCGGAGATCGTGCGTGTCGAGTGCGCGAAATGCAGGCGAGAGTGCGATTTGCCGGCTGCCCGCGCAACCCTCTGCGGAGATCGTGCGTGTCGAGTGCGCGAAATGCAGGCGAGAGTGCGATTTGGTACGCAACTCTAGTACGCGGAGTAGCTGGGGAGCGGGAAGATGAGAACTGGCGAGTGGGTCGTACAACTTGAGGGCGTGGAGTATCTGGGGAGCTGGGAGATGAGCACTGGCGACTGTGTAGTACAACTTTAGTACGCGGAGCAATCTGTGGAGCTGGAAGCTGAGAACTGGCGACTGCGTAGTACAACTCTAGTACGCGGAGTAATCTGTGGAGCTGGAAGCTGAGAAGTGGCGACTTGGTAGTACAACTTTAGTACGCAGAGTAGCTGGGGAGTGGGAAGATGAGAACTGGTGAGTGGGTAGTAGCTGAGAACTGGCGACTTTGTAGTACAACCTTAGTATGCGGAGTAGGTGGGGAGCTGGAAGATGAGAACTGGCGACTTGGTAGTACAAATTTAGTACGCAGAGTAGCTGGGGACTGGGAAGATGAGAACTGGCGACTTGGTAGTACAACTTTAGTACGCAGAGTAGCTGGGGAATGGGAAGATGAGAACTGGCGAGTGGGTAGTAGCTGCGAACTGGCGACGGTGTAGTATAACTGTAGTGCGCGGAGTAGCTGGGGAGCTGGAAGATGAGAACTGGCGACTTGGTAGTACAACTAACACGTGCCTTTGACAACAGGCAGTGGAAGCCAGCTTGCTGGCTGCCATTGTCCAGATGGAAAGCTGGCTACACACAGACACCCACACACTCCCTCAACTTCCACGAACACACACATACGCAGACTCGTTTCCACACGGACATAGACACACGCACAGAAACCCACACACTACCTCAACTCACTCGACTTAACACTTCTCACTACACACTTACCGGATAACTCGCACTCTGATTTCCTACGTGATGAAAAATGCTTTCGGGCCACTCGTCGTCTAGTTTTCATGCCGGTACTGCCTTCAGCTGAGAGTGTGATGAACAACCTTGTCTCTTTGGCACGCCCACAGTGATGGAATTGTTGTTTTGGCGATGCTCGTCATGCTCGTTGGTGATCACGATTCGCTTCGTCGGTGAACACGGTGCGTTTCACCCTTCCAAAGGTCCCCGCTTTTTTGATCAATGAAGGGACAACTCATTCAACTGACCGATGTATGAGGGAAAAGCATCTTTGCAGCCAAGATTCGAATGTTCGATTTCCCGCAAAAAGACAGCGTTTTTGCTTGGGGTGATGTTCCCGAAGTGATGGCAATCCTCCGGGCTCGATTGCCTTTCGATGCTTCCTCCTGTCCTCGCTTCTCCGCCCAGATCCCACAAAAAAAAACTTCTGTACCACATCTGCTGGCCCTCCACTTCAGCGCGGAAAAGCGGACACGGACAACCCAAAAACGCCGTGCTGTCCGCCCATCGCCCCGGTGGAGGGTCCACCCTTCGCCTCGCGTCGCCTCGGCCCGGCGCAGCAACTGAGGACTGGACATCCGGCGGGAGGCGAGGGAACCGAAGTACGGGACAGGTCGGGGGCAACCCGTGAGAAGCTTCCGAGAACACCATGTTACATGTTACATGTTATAAATGGGAACGGCCTGTTGTACGCCTTTTTAGAATCTTCCGTGAAAACCAGTTTTGGGGATTGTTGTTGAATCATTGAAGGTTCGAAGGTGTGTGGGTGGGGGCAAGGGGTCGTTTTTCAACTGATGTTTCTGTTGAACGTCGCACTCGCGCTCACCAGCTTCGCACCGGGG